GATTTATTCTTATGAAATATAAATAGGAAGGATTTTCATTTTATTTTTTAATTTATTCTATCCTATGTAAGAGTTGAGGGGAAGAGATGGTCGTTACTAACATGCTCAGGTATAGACCACATTGCTTAGGATCTGCTATGCAATCTACAAAAAAGACAGTGAACCTGTCTGTATTGTATAACAGAATTTTCCCATCGATCACGTAGGTGGTCCTACCAGCTTGAAAGCTTGACTTATACATTTTCTTGTATTTTTTTAGCTCAAATTTACATTGCCACCCTATCTCCAAATAACAATTGTTAATTTTATCCTATGAAGAATAATTTTAGTTATATACCTTTGCTTTGTCAATAATTGTGTTATAATTAAAAGCGCATCAGCATTTTATAGAGACTACCCACATAGAGTATTAGTAATAGGTAGTCTGTCATAGTGAGGTTTAATCCTGTAAAAACATGTAACGGATATGGGCATATAACTGAATTATATTTATTTTTATCTAGGAGGAGACCATCGAAATTGACACAGCTTGGTTGGCTGTTGTGGAGGTCTTTTCTTGACAGTGCGAGAAATCCTCAAGGAAGCCTTATTCGTTTAGCATTCTATTTGGTATGGATACTCAATTGAACACATAAAATTTCTTTCATAATATATTTCTATAATAATATATTATATGCAATATATTTGTTTCATAAAGAAAAAATATTGAAATTGTTTTTCCTTAGTTTTTAGGCCTCCTCATATCCACACCATATGTTGGCTTGAAAGTGGATCAGGAAGGAATACAAAATCTTCAAGGTTTACTGTACCTGATCATTGTGGAAACCACCTTCACTTTTACTTACAGAGTTTCTCATACTTTCCCCGCAGAAATACCTATACTACTCCGAGAAGTGAATAATGGTCTTTATTCCCCTGGTCCTTATTATATATCCAAAATGATTTTTTTGGTAAGTAGAATTATACATTCATAGTTCAACTTATTTCAAGATAAATTAATTAACACGAGGGTAAAAGCACCTATTATTGACACTAGTAACTTAAATTTGATAAAATAAGCATTTAGATTTGTGTAGGATATCAAACTTGGCGGCCTTTCAAAGACACATTAATCAGCCTTTGAAATGGTTCCAAGTTTGAAATCCTACATGAACCTAAAAGGTTATTTCATCAAATTTAAGTTACAAGTGTCAATAATTGGTAATGTTTAAATGATGGGTGCCTTTACCCTAATTATTGTTATATATTTTTTAAACGTATGAACATATTTTATTCCTTAGAATTTAATTTACGCTCATATTTTAAAGTAAAGAACTATTGACTTTAGAAACGTATACCAAGAAATTAGTAGTTTTTGTAATTGGATTGTTGGACAGGACACAATAGTTAAATAGCATTGTCAGTAAAATTATTCCAATGACTGCAACAAATACATTTAGTAAGAGGATGCAAATTATCTACAGCAATCATTTTTTCCTAAGCAACTTTTTTTTTTTACAATGTCAAAGAGATTTTCTTTATTATTTTACTTTTTTTTTAATTTATAGTTATATTGAATTTGGAAATAAAATATTAAATTGGGGAATAAAATAACTTTGTAGATGAATACATTTTTTTTTTTTTCTTCTCAGCTTCCAAGAGCATTAATTGAACCAATCATATACACAGCACTTGTGTTTTGGATAGCTGGTCTCTTTGGTGGTTTTACTGGATTTTTAATATTTTGTGTACCAGTAATAATGTCATCAGTAGCGGCAACAGCTTATGGTAAAACTTTATTTTACTGTCTTTTAAATACTTCATTCTTGATTTGAATTAAATATATATATATATATTTTTTTTTTTTTTTGTTTTAGGTTGTGTTATATCAGCAGTGTTTGAAGATGTTTCAACGGGTTCATTAATATCGGTACCCTATGAACAGTTTTGTTTGTTATTCTGTGGCATTTTCATGTCTTTAAAGTAAGATTTACAATCTTATATATCATAATGATTTATAGATATTTTTAACATACCATATACAACTACAGTTTTTCCAATCGTAAATGAGGTGATAAATAATTTTATTCTGAAACAAGAGTCCTCTAATAATCAAATTGAAGCTAATGAAAACCAAAGAACAAAGTGAGAATTTTATCTGATGCTTGGCTTGCTATATTTGCATTATATTACAAATCACAATTATGAGAACACAATTTGCAAAACTCTGAGATTTATATTTTAGTGGGACTGATTACAAAGCAGTTTTATTATAGTTTTACCACATATCAAAATTCTAATTTTGAAAGATAAAGTAAAACAGATTACTTAAACTTAGTATGTTCAGGTTTATATTTGCTTTATATAGGGAAGGTATGTCATGATACCTCATCAAAGATTTTAGATAAACATCAAACTCTGCAGTTATTAAAAAAAAAAATTAAAAGTATGACAAATACATGTTTTAATGCTTCATGTATGTTGCTAGAGTGTGTATTTAAACTTAGTCCAGTACACGTTCTATGTTTGCAAAATAGAAATTATAAATAAATATCAATTTCTGTTAAATGAAATTGAAGACATTATAGTAAATAGTAAAATCATTAGCAAGATTTTTGTTTGTTTTTTTTCTTAAAAAGAAAACTTTGTATTTTACTACAGTTGTCCTAATCTTCTTTTCAGTGATGTCCCTTTTCATTTTGCTTGGGTGAAGTACATCTCCATTTTCTTTTATGGCTTAGAAGCTGTTTCAATATTACAATGGAGTCAGGTCGACCGAATACGTAAGTAACTTTTATCTTGATTAGAAGTCCAAATTTAGAAATATGATTACAGCATTTATTTATGAAAATAATGGTGTATACACAATAAAAATATTGATGTTTGTAAATCAATTTAAGATTAGGTTACTGTTGACAAAAAAATTTATAACTCCCTGATTCATTAATTCATTCATGTTAGGTTTCAAAAGAATTTTAGATTAGGAATATAGCTCTTTTATTTTTCATAACTCTTTACACCAACCAAGTGTAGGTGTGTGTTAACTAGTAGCTGCAGCCTTTTCATAGGTCTTGCTTTTAAATCAACAATATAGTGATTTTAATTGAATAGCCTAATTTTAAGTTTTCAGCTCAATTCTTTAAGTTGCTAAATATAATGAGAATTTCCTCCTCCAAAAGATCCTTCAGTGATGTCATCACTATCCAATACTTCTTTCATTCAATGGCTCTAACTTGATTTCCATAAGTGGACCTTGGCCTCCACAATGAGCCTTTACAAGGTGGCTTGGTCTTGTGCAGACCTTTCCAATTTCAAACACCTAAAAGGGTCTGAGCAGCCTTCATCACTGCGTCTTCCCATCTCAGCCTTGGCCTTCCTCTTTCTCTCTATCGGCCCAGATTCCCAATACTACCCCTTTAATTATTTTTAAAATGTTTTCAGTCAACAATTAGGAAAAGGTGAAATCGTAATTTTTAAAAGCATATATTTAGATTGGCATTTCAAAATAAAATAAAATCCAGACTAAGCATACATGGCATATCAGTCCTAAATGGTGAACATTTGGTTCATATGTTATATACTTATTTATGTGATATAAATCAGAGATTTCTGAATTTAACTAATATCCCAATCCTAGCCATTTCACGTTGTTATGTTAATAAATAGTTAGGTAAATATAAATACGAAAAGTCTCAGTTTAAGGATTATTTAATTAAAACCTTAAATCTAAGGTTTTGACTAAATGAGTTATCTGAATAAAAGCAAACAATTGGAGGATGTAAAGTTAATGATGAAATTGTTTCACAGAACCATAGTTTAAGAATCGCTAATATAAATTATGTATATATTCACAAGCACATATTTTATTCTTATAGATATATGATAAATATTTTATTTGATTCATGTAAAGAAATATATGGTTTTCAAATGTTAACAACATATACATCATTCAAAGAGTATTGGATTTTCTGTGAAGCAATCTCATTTTAGTTCTTCAGAGTTATTAATTTTACTGAAACTTTATATAATGGTTTTTACATTGTGCCGTATAGATTTGAAAATAACTATGAAGTAGGAGAAAAAATAAAGATTGAATATTAAAAAACAGTGCTGAACTTATAATTTACCATTTCAAACCAAATATAACAGTGACATAAATTAAAATAATATAATTATATTTCTATGCTACAACTTAAAGTGAAATATTTTCATATGTAAAAAAGATAGCTAATTTCATTGTATAATGCATTTTTTAAAAAAATAAACTTTCCTATTAGGTTTTTATATCTCATTTAGTTAAAGTCCACTTTATTTTCTCTGTAAAACATTATATAGAATAACATTCTTTAAAAATCTTATATAATTAATTATTAATTCATTTTTTAGATAAGACTTACCTATTCCAGTGTAAAAAATTTTTTTTTATCAGAAACCAAATACTTTTCTTTAAGCAACAATAACCCTTAAAAGAAAATTGGCGCTTTTAAAGAATTTTTTTCTTAAAGCCTTTAGTAGCTCTACCTATCGGTATGCTTAGGAACTAACATGTTACTTCCGTCTGTCAGCATTGTTCCCAACAAAAATAAATATCAATTTTTTTACTATTCATTATTGATTTTTTAAAAGTTTATTTATGTGTTTAAATTTTTTGTTATATTTATAACACAATTTTTTTCCTTTCAAAACATTTATTTAATTTGGTTTTCACCTTAAAATATAAAATCATTCTAATGTGTGATCAGAATTATTAAAGTAAGAGTAAATCTGAATACATTAGCGTTTTTATATGTTAAAGCTGTGAAAATTTGAAAAAAATTAAATACTTTTTGAAAATCTTTTAATTTAACTGTCCTTTATGATGGTATGAACACAGTTTTGCTATTTGGAACTTAAAATATTTTTATATTACAACTAAGGGACTTTTATCTGTATTAATTAATTACAGGTATAATATTAGTTGATAGTTATAAAAGTGACTCAATATGTCGCAGAATTTTTTTAATCATTTTTGATTTATAAGAAAAAAAAAAAAACTGTTTGCAGTATAATATTGAAAAATTTTACAATTGATTAATACAAACTTAGAGATTAATATATTTAAATGTTTAACATTGATTGTACTTAATCAACTAATCCGTCAACTATTAATGTGTTTTTCTTATAATTGTAGCCTGTTCAGATAATCCAGAAGCTCCATGTATAGCAACAGGAAGTGAAGTTCTTGAAAATTACGGCTACTACAAAAATGGTTTTTATTTTGATATTGGTGGACTTGTGGCTATTTATATAGCATGCCACGTGATTGGTTTCCTTGCATTCTGGAAGAGGAGTCAGAAGCAAGCAGCGTATTAGTAACGTATTTTTAAGTTAAAATTGTTGTTTTTTTTTGTGATTTCTGTACTGAATTTTAAGTTAAGTAACTTTGTTGTTAAATGTTATGCAGTCGAGATACACTGCATTTATATGTTTTGATGTAAAAAAAAATATTTTTGTAATATTTTTAAAACATTAGTATGGATTTTTACTATTTATACAATGAAATAAAAATAGAGGGAAGTAGGAGTAACTGTGAAGTAAATTGTGAAAGTTTTAATTGATATTATTAAATTAAATATTAATCATCTAAATATCAAAGATGAAAATTAATAGGTGTCGATAGAGTATGTTATCATATTTTAGTATGAAATATTACAAAATGAGATAACTTAACATGATATAATCTAATACCATTCAAATTACTATTACTGTGTAATTAAATTAAATTGATCTTAATTAAAAAATAATTAAGATTTACATGTACATATACAGTGCATCACATCACAGGTCAATAAGACCATTATAAAAAATATGTCTCTTTATTAATGGAGCATGTGGTACTGATATATAAATTAGTTATTCTCGATTAAAGTTCAAATATATTGAAGTACAATGTATTATTTATGAAACAAAAAAGGTGCTATTTGTTGGCTCTATTTTATATAGATATATATATATATATACATGTATATTGTACAATTCATTTTTTTAATTAATTAGATGTATCAAATATATCTCATTTATTGATTTATATACAGTCAAAAATAAATAAAATATTTTATATAAAAAGAATATAAATGCATTTTATATAATTTATGATACCCATAAAAAGCACAATCAGATAAACGTAGAATAACCCTGAATTTCTTTAAAAAAAAAAACACTTTGACTCCTTAGGTAATAAACTCATTAAGAATCAAAACACACTGTTATAAATACAACTTCTATAAATAGCTGTTCAGAAGATATCAAAAATTCACAAATAATAAATAACTAATATTAAATAATAATAATAAATAATAATTTTCTACCGAAGAACTGTGTTGGCTTAATAGAGACATGAACGGCCACCATCCTTTCTGAAGCTTTTATCTGACTATATCGATAACAGAGGTAATATCTTGATAAAATATTTAGAAGTCGATAAAAGTACAGCATTATTGAACGACGGTACTAAAACCCATCTTAATCTGAGCACCAATACACTTACAACTCTTGATCTCAGTCTCTGTGAACACCATTTCTTATCAACAACGAACTGGAGAGTGTCAGGTGAATTATTTGGCAGTGATCACTTCCCGATTCTCCTAGAAATTCCAGAAAATAGACCATTTGTACAATACAACAACCGATAGCAGTATTCTTCAGCTGAATGGGAAATTTATAAGGAAGAAATAATTGCAAATATAAACCAAAACAAAAGCTCTTTAGACACACTTGAGTATACAAACATCAATGAACAGCTAAACGTTTTTAACCAGATAGTACTCAGAGCAGCATCTCATAGTATTCCTAAGAAAAAAAAGAATATTCTCGTGTCCAAGTTCCATGGTGGAATACTGAATGCAGTAACGCAGTGAAGGTAAAAAAGAGAGCATTAAATAGACACAAAAAATCCAAATTATTATCTGATCTGATAGAATTAAAGGAACGGAGAGCCTATGCTAATAAAATTAAAAAACAAATAAAAAAAGAATATTGGAGAGAATACATGTCTTCAATAAACAGTTCGACTATGTCTCATCAAATATGGTCCAAAATTAAAACAATTAAGGAATACAAAAAAATGTCCACAATATCAGGTTTAAAAACATAAAATGGCATAATAACAGAAAATGTTGAGATAGCAAATAAACTAGGATCCTACTTTCAAAAAATATCTGCCACTGAAAATTACGACCAAAGTTTTTTTAACCACAAAAAGTCGACTGAATGCCAACGGGTCATAATCAAATGCGAGGAATGGAAAGCTATAATGCGACATTTACCATAGAGGAACTTAATAATGTCTTACTAAAATGTAAACCGAAATCAACCCTGTGTCTTGATCAAATTCTATATTTATTCCTAAAAAAACTCCCTATTGAAGCCAAAAAATATCTCTTAAAATTGTACAATAATATATGGGGGGTTATATATACAGAGGGAACCACACCTGACTTACGGCACAAATCAATAATCATACCAATACCTAAGAACAAAAATGTTATTAATCCTGATTGCTTTTGACCTTACCTGCTCTACTTCAAACTTAATGGAAAAGATGGTCAATCTAAGGTTGACAGATACCTTTGCAAAAAAGCAGCTTGCAAAGAAGCCAACAAACAATGCGGTTTTGTTAAAAATCGTTCAACCTTAGATCAACTGATAAAACTGGAATCAGAAATACAAATAGTTTATCAAAAAAAAAGAACATCTAATTGCCATTTTCTTTGATATCCAAAAATCATACGATAGATTATGGAGACAATATATTGTGAACAAGTTATTGGAATGAACCAAAACCAAGTGTGTCCATTTCTGCCAGAAAATATAATGTTCTGATAATCCAACACTATCAATAAAAAGAGAAATTTTACCATTCGTGGAAAACATTCATTTCCTTGGGATGTGGTTTGACAGGCAACTGAGATGGACATAGCAGTTGCGTAATTTGAGAGCAGATTGCATAAAACTAATAAATATACTAAGGGCTGTTTCTGGAATGAACTGGAGAGCCAACAGAAAGACACTATTTATCCTGTATCGAACTTTAATAAGAAGTAAAATAGACTATGGAAGTACTGTACATAATTCAGCCTTTGAGAGAGCACTAAAAATACTTGACACCGTCCACAACACTGCAATAAGATTATGCACCGGGACGTTTAGATCCTCTCCCTTTGAGAGTCTATACATTGAAAGTGGAGAATCGAGCTTAGCTTAAAGAAGAAACTATCTTGCTCTAGTTGACGCCTCATCTATAGTTTCTAAAACGGATCACCCTAAACATAGTTTGTTTACCAGGATCAGCACCAACCAAGTGTAATACTCAACTGGCACTACACAGAAAACTCAACTACAGAGAAAACTCACAAACTCCTTTTACAATTAGACTTCAGACTGGACAATATAATGACAATAGACGATGTTTTATTCTCTCAATGGAATAACTCTTTCATAAAAACAGATAAGTCTCTTTCTAAGAAAATACAAACTCACGACAACCAATTTGTCAAAAAAAACTTATTTACAGAAATGAAACACAAAAACCTCAGACACACAACCCTTTATACAGATGTATCAAAAACAGATAGTGACGTTGGATGTGCAGTAATACTGAAAGACCAGTGCCTCAAATTCAATTTGTCCCAAATAAACAGCGTCTTCACAGGCAAACTATTCACCACATATCCTTGTTATTGCTAACAGAAAAAAACATAAAACATGGCCTTATAGTTACAGACTCTTTAAGCTCATTAATGGCCATTGCCAAAGGGAATTCCGACAATGCCATTTCCAGAAAAATCAAACACTGCCTCTGGGAAATGAAGGAGTTGGCGGATAGAGACATCGTTCTTACATGGGTACCCTCACATTGTGCCATATCTGGAAACGAAGCTGCATACAGGGCTACAAACCTCGCAAAAAGAAAAAAATATAGAACAAACAAATCATCAATGATCAATTTAACGACCACTGCTGACTGAAGATTGGAATGCAAAAAAATGTTAAATGGAAAATAGCAATTTAAGTGGAACCGATCAACCAACAAACAGCAAGAAATTAAAAAAGATATCCAACCATGGACAACCTCTTTCAGAAAGAACAGAACAGAGAAATAATTTTAACTCGACTTAGAATTGGCCATGCAGCCTTTACCCATGGTTACCTAATGAGAGGTCTGGAACCACCATTTTGTAAAACATGCAACATATCACTTACACTGAAACACATTATAACAACTTGCAGATTATACTCTAACACCAGAACAAAACATAATGTACCTTTCCAACATTTCTGATACACTTTCAGATGACGAAGAGAAGATACAAAAAGTATTTGAATTCATAAAAGTTTTGTCCACCTAATTTAATTCCATCTAAAGCCGCTAATGACCCACTCGGGTAGATGAGGAATGTAACAATAAATAAATAACTCATAAAACAATGAACATGGTAAAGGCATAAAGAAAGAAAGATATAAGAAATATTTTTATTAAATTAATTGCCAACGGTGGTAGGTATTTCATATGAACTTTATGGACTAAAATAAATGTTTACAAATTTTAATTTGTTTACATAATTTAATGGATTTTATAAATATTTATAAAAATATTGTTTTGAAAAAGATACATTTGACAAAGAGTTTATTCTTAAATATCTTTTTCCCATTTGTTTTTATAGTAATTTCAAAAACAGAAATCGAATAAATAATGTGAACTGAAACAAACTAAATTCTTAAATTAACATAGTTGTTTAAGGTAAGTTGTGTATTAAGAATAAATAATATGATATTCGAAATATCATTACCTTGAAACCCTTCAACAACTAAAACATAACTTCTCTAAAAAATCCAAACACAGAATGTCTTATTACAGCTCACCCACAATACAGTGACGTGATAAGAACAGTCTAAAAGTGTGAAAGAAACTTTTCTATTTCAGACATTCAATTCAACTTACAAACAATTGAGCTATACATGACATGTTGGTTTAATTTGGTTAATGTGAAAATAAATTGAATAAAAACAATAATTAATAAATATATGAGAATTAAAAAAATTAATGGTTATAAACTAACTTAAATGGTACTAGGAAGGGGTGGGTTCATTCAATCTGCCATATTCTGGTGTGTGAGCTATGTAGTACAATCATTTAGCATTTGACAGAACAAATTAATGAAGAGATAAGAAGAATCAATATGTTAGGAACTTTATTCTAGAGTGTATGCGATTTCTCTAAGGTAACACTGCTTGTTTTATGGATATTAAATGCAGTTAACATCTATAGTAAATATTCTCTAGCTTAAGGTTTAGTTAATTGGCTTCTCTTTTTATAAACATAACACCCATTATCCAGCATCAAACCATGGAAATATAAAATAAGAGAGTGCCTGTTATATTCCAAAAACTCAACAATTAGTTTTAAGATGCTTTGATTAATCTCTGACTGATTGTGAGTAAATATAAATGGAAAAATTATGTCAATATTTTGAATGAGGATGTATACTTATTCAGTTCTCCATGTATGCAACATTATTGCAATATATATCATTAAAAGCTTATTAAGAATAAATTAACGAATCAATCTATTGACATTACATGATTGCTTGATCATATATCAAAATCAATGCTTGATCATATACTGCAAATCACTTTTAACAAGGTAACAATTTTTTTTTTCTTTTATTGATTTCTAATACCTGAACTCAAACATATTTTACTTTTTGAAGTGCCTAAATTATAAATATGTTCTGAAAATTCATGTTAAATTTTATAAGTGCGATGATGTGTATGAACCGTAGGTTTTCATTTGTTCGACCATCAACATTTCAATTTTCCAGAATAAAAATGATATTCAAAGGGATATAAATGTCAATAATCTAACCCCTTCTTTTGAATAACTAAAATAAAGTTTAACAATATTTTTTTTTATATTATTTTTTTAAACTCTTACCACTTGGGTGGTATGGACATTTAAATTTCCTGAAGGAAAATGATCATGTGAGATATGTATACTTTTGGAAAATGGATGGAATAAGAACACGAAGTTGGCCAAGGAAAACTTTAAATACAGAAATTTTTGATGGAAATGCATGAAGAATGGATCTTGGACAGAAAAATGTGGAAGGAATGCAAACAAAATCTTGGATAAGGAAATCCATTTCTTTCGTAGAAAATCCTAAATAAAAGTTTTTAAAATGAATTAGATATATTTATTTATAATTAAAAATAATAATTGTTTATTATTATTATTATCTAGTAATCAAACTTACTAATACCTGAGCCTTGATTAAAGGTATAGCAATTCAAGGTTATTTGGAGAACTAATTGATTACATCCTAATATTATTGAGTTAATTTTCACAAAAAAATTATTTCTATTTCATTGACTTGACAGTATTTCATAATTATGAATAAAATAAAAAAATCTAGCAGAAAAAACCTTCAATATTTTAGTTTTTTATTAATATTTTAGTTTTAAAAAATATTAATTACTAACAAACATTATGGTTATCTAAGGAACATCATGAATGGTTATCTGATTAAATATATTTATACCTTGTATATTTCTGAATTTCTATTTTATGTTTCAAAGTTTAAGTTTCATAACTGTTCAATGAACATTAGTTTTACAAACAAAATGTCTGTCTTTGAATTTACCCTCCCTGATAAAAATTCAGGGAAAGATAAAATCTTGATAATTTTGCTCTGATGTAACTGAAACGATCAATAGTTTGAAACACAGATTATCGCATACCCAACCTTGTCATGAATGTCCTAGTAAGAAAATAGAAATGCATAATAATATACAATAACAAGTATATTAAGTTTTAGTAAGAGAAAAAATGTATCTCACTGTAAAAAAAATTGTCATTAGTCAAAAAAAGTAATATAATATCTGATAAGTACCAATGCTTCATAAAAATTTAAAGCCTACTTTTGATAAAGCTTTTTTTTCTCAATTCAATTACAAATTACCTTTTGATTGATTTCACTTCTTCTATTTGTTTGATTGTGCTATGCTCTGTATGAAAATATATAATTTATCACTATCTAAAAACAATTGACTATTCCATATTATTTAAAAATTGGTGTTGATTGCATGTTTAAGGAAGGCTATTAGGCAGCAATAAAATATTGACACCTCTGAGTAATATAATAGAAAAATGTTTGAACATAGGCTGGTAACTATTGCACTAGGAATAAAATAATAACAAATATATATATATATATACATTTTTTTTTCCATCACAGTGAAAAAAAAAAAAAGAAGTGAATAATTCAAAAATAACGTTATGGATAAGTCGAGCACAAAAACAACTGATATTTCTTCACTATAACTCAAAGAATATGGAATAATTCGAAATTATTAAAGCACCCAAATTTTACAGAAAATTACATAAGGTTAACTCAATCAATTGAATTTTGTCATATCTACATATTAGATTAACAGTGTCTTCATCCCTCTCCTTTAGGAATCAATTAGACAATGACCTGTTCATGTTTTTTGTTACTAAATGTAAATCTTAGAATACATATTCTATACACAGTGAAGAACAAAATCAATTAGATATTTATATTTAAAAGCACCATCATATACAGAAATGTAACTGGTGCATGAAAATAAATTCATGTTACACCTTCATGTCTCAAAGTTTTCATATAAGCTCCTATATCACAAACTAAAAATATTTCATCCAACAGGCAAAATGTCCAAAAGCAAAATTATCTTTCTTATCACAAAAATTATACTTTACATCAAATATTTTATCATCCCTTTAAATCTGAGCCATCAAAAGTTAATCATAACAGCTTATTAGAAAAAAAAGAAAATATAATTTACGCTCTTTCATAAATTGGAGCAAAGTTTTATGTACAGATGATTATTTCATAATGAAATGTCCGCAAAAACTTCATAAGATTATTATTTGAAAACATAAATTTTTCACTACCTCTAGTTACTTGAAAAATATTTTTCTATTAATTTTTATAATTATTGCTTGTTTAATTTTATGGTATATCTCATTTGGACTTTAACCATATGCAACAGAAAGTTAACAATGCATTACTACTGGGTAGAAATGAAAATTATGTTTAAGATTTATTTAAACTTTCTATTATTCCTAAGCTATAAAAATTATTTATTTTTCTTAATTACATTAAAGTAATCAAATATTTTCTACTAAAATCAGTTTGATTTTTATTGCTTTCTATAAAAATTCATGAGTGCAGATCAATTTATTGAATTTTGATAACTTTAATCCTAACATCTAAAATGTGATTTAAAAAAAAAAAAAAAAAATACAATTTTCTCTCTTTTCTGACCTTTTTTTTTTTTTTTCATTAACAGTAAATATCAAATACCTACAAAAAAAAATTGTTTTTTCATTCATTTTCACTACATTACTAATTAATAGATCATATTTTTTTAAATTAACATTTAATTTTGTACAATTTTTCACTAATTTATAAATTGATATTGTGAATTTTATAAAAATCTCTTTTAAAAATATTAATAAAATAAAGCAGCAGTAATCAAACAATCTTCTTAAAAGTTAAATCAAGTAAATTGTTGAAGATTTTTAGGATTGGGATACATTAAATATAAATACAATAGAATTTATATAAATATAATATACCAACAACAAACACACAATATTACTACTACATGTGAACACATTAGTGATGACACTAACACTAGTACAACAAATATAAAATAACTCAACTCAATAATAACTCATGAAGTACTCATTTATTTTACAATAGAATTTTATTTTTACTTTTTAAAACCAGTATATAATAGATTAAAAATTTTGCTTTTTAAAAACACAAAAAATATTCCAACAACTGAATAAATTATCTAGTGTTATTATTATTATTGAACAACACTTGGTGTCCAATAACCAATTGTTGGTCAAAAATAAAGTGAAAGAATAACTCCGAAATATGTACTATCATAGAAAATTAACAAAGAACTTTTACATAGTGACAAAAGGAGTACAGCAAAAAAGAGAGGAACCAGCAAATGAAAATAATAAATGTTTTAAAAGTTATGAAGAATATTTCTCAAAAGTGTAATAAAAATAATAAACTATAATCATAAGGAAGTTATATTTGCTAACTACAGCAGTAAAACAAGAAACTTTCCAACCAAAGAAGAAGTAATAAGAAGTTCTAACAGTTTAACTTTATTTGTAAAACGAAACCACTAAAATCTTTTACTAACAACAAACACCTAAATGAATCAAAAAAAGGTTTTTCAAGTAATAATTGACACACTTTTTCATTTTCAAAAATTACAAAAATAGCTATGTCCTTTCATAAAATAATGTAAATGCAACAAGATGCATGTAATTCATACTGCTAACTGAGATAGTAGTTGCAATTATTTGGAACTAATAAAGAAAAATGAAAATATTTCTAGACCGCTTAACCAACTTTGTATTTTTATATCCAGTTCCGCTATTTTTAGATAAAAAAATAATATTAAGAGGGTTTGAGAAGAAAATAAATTTTAGTATTGATTTTAATACCTTGTACCAATTAGTGAAGCATATATCTAAATTAAATTATTCACAGATTATAAATCCACCTTTCAACATTAGCAATTATTGGAATAATGGTTCAACATATGTAGTGATACATCTATAACAGAAAGAAATACACTCAAGTTTTAATTAATGGAATACTTGCATGAATTTCTTATTGTTATTAATCAGTGTAGATTATGGATATAGAAATAAGAACAAAAAAAAGTCACACATTTTTTTTATGCATATTTGCAAAGAGAAGTAGCATTTAAGTAACATTAAGGGAGGGCTAGAAATGTCAAATTTGATACCTTATATGTCACAGCAACAGTTTTCAACATTCATGTCAAAAATAAAAAAACACACACATATATACCATATGTTAACAAAAATAAATATACCTATATATACATCATGAAGTTAAAACTATTATCAAAGTTTTAAAAATAGGCTTTATATTGATAAATTTTCATTTGGCACCCTTCATTGTTAATAGCAGAAATAAACTGACCCACCTCTCATTTAAAGACAAAAATAATACAATGAGCAGGTTTAACTCTCAAGTGGTACAGTGGGGGTTGGATCTCGTCCATAAGTTTTTCTCCCTCTCGCCTATTCCAATCTCTTTATAAAAGATCGAACAGTTATTGGTTAGGTGAACTGAACATCATTATTTCAATTTTCTCATGAGCTCTTTAAGGTTGCTTTAAACCCGATAGTACTGTAGTTGTTCCTAATTTTACAGTAGACTTATTTTTTCTTTTTCATGGTTTAGGCATTAAAATGGTTAAGACATTGAGTTGCTTTAGAGAACTAAGAGTAAGACTCAGAACTGGAAGAGCATGTCTTGGAATCAGATGAGAAAATGAAAGTCTACTGAACAGTGATATTGAAGATATTTATGACTAAAAATATTATACTTATTATTTTAGATTTTATCAAATAGGAGAGTCCATATCATTTTGAATACTTTGATTCAATGTTCTATTGACTGAATATTATTTGGTTCCTAATTTCTTAGCTTCTTCAATACTGTTTGCATCCTATATTATTGTAAAATTAGGAATAGAAATAAACGATTACATTGAAATGTACTAGTTGACCCATGCGAGAAATTTGCACAGTATATTGTCCACTGATCAAATGAAAAATTAATAGGAAAATAAAAGAATGCAATTTATCATAAGATAGAGAAATCAATTGTAACTTTCTCACTAAAAATAATCAACAAAGGAAACCAAAATTAATTTTAAACTTCATTCACATGTTTGGAACCTATTTTTTATTGAGCTAATAATTGTCCGATTTGTATGCTCTTTTTTTCTTATTGTAATTTAGAAATCTTTTATATAATCATAGGTATAACCTATGATCCTATATCCTCATAGGCATAAGAAAAAAGTGAGTAATTTTTGAGTTATTCGCAAATAAACTTTGTTTTCTTTCATAACTTTTTTGCCTGAATTTTGGGGGTTATGGGACTATTTTTTCTGCCTGAAAGAGAAGGAAACCTTCAAAACAGGTAGGCTCAATCTTGGGTTTTGATGAAGAATTAACGAAGATATAGTTTAATGACAAAAAAAAAAAAAAAAAAAAAATCTTGCTCGATAAATAATATGAACTCCTCTTTCGATCATAGGGACCTCAAGTAGACAAAATGAGACACGTATCACGTGACAGCACTACAATTAACGTGAGGTTGTGTGAATGCGAACCCTTTGCCTTGCATTATCTCGAAAATGGTATGTTTTTGGCTTTAAAACACATGCCCCAATAGTTCTGCAGGAACTATCCGGATCTCAGTGTACGCATCAAAATTTTCAAAGCCCAATTTGTCCCATATCGATCTACAGACTTACCATAGTTCCAGTATTAAAGCCTAGCAAAATGTTTATATTGCTTTTATTTATTTTAGAAAGAAAAACAAAAGTGGAGAGACTGATTCGGTCAAGCCCAGTGAAATTCTGAATCTTTACTGTAATAATATATGTGAGGATTGATAAACACTAAATATAATCCCTGTTAATTATTTTAAAGTTGAAAGTTGGCCTTAAAAAAGTACTTCCTTATAATGTACTGAGCCCACAACCTTCCATGGATTAAAGTGGTACAGGCTCATTTTTTTTTTTTTTTTTTTTTTTAAGCTTTATTGTAAAGACTAAAACTATCGGTATATATTATTTTAAATATTTCTGTGGACATTAAATAATAAAAAAAAAATATTAAAATAGAGAACGTGTCAGGTCTGACCCGACTGTACCATATGTTTTTTCTCAAACCACTGTACCACCTGAGTGTTAATAAACTGTTATTTAAAATGTGTAATGGAATGAATGATTTTTGAGAATTAATTTTTTATTACAAAAAAAAAAACTTCTTAACAAAATTCCTTTAAGATAAACTCAAATTCATACTATTCTTTAAAATCACTTTAAAAAAAAAACTTTCAACAATGAGCAATAAATTCGAAATAGCCTTAGAATTAAAAATAAATAAATAAAAACAAACAACATAAAACAATCCTACGCTAACCACAACCTAGATAATAAACTAAAAATAATAAAGAAAAGTATATCACTGAAAAATTAATTCTTATGATAAATAAATTTTGACCTTCCTACAATGGCTAGAAAACGTTTGTAATCTTTAAGTATAACCCATTTCTTGTTATAATTGAAATACACAACGATGTTAAGTCAAATAATTCTTATAAGTAATTAATATCCACCCTGATTCTCTTAATATTACATTGAAAAAATCTAAAATTCTTTATTAAAAACAAATGTGTGACTATTTGGGAACCCATTCGGACTAAAAGCAGTTTTATTTTGGTTGATTAAAACAAAACTCGTTAGGTACCAAATACTCTTGTGATAAATTATGAAAACTACAAATAATAAATAGAAAAAAAATTATCAAAATATCAGGCTCCAGTAGGTCTAAGAAAACTTACTACATTTATCACAGTTTGAATTAATGCTTAAGCATAAGCATGGATCAATGCACTTGGTATCAATATACAATTGGTTACTTATTCTACAATTAAAGGATATTAACATAAGTTGAGATAAAAATTTCCTTATAAAGTTTTAACTTAGCCTCTGAAACAAAAATAGTTTTCATGAGGGTATCCCATATCCTGTAAATATCTGAAAAAGAAAAAACAAAACAAGAATTACAAAAGAAAATATAACTATTTCTATAGTTAATAAGATGGTAACTAGTTTATCAATTTAATTTTTAAAAACAACCATGAGCTGAAGACCTAAAACATTAGCTCAAAATGCTATAGTCCATAGTACAGGCCCCTTTTTATTGCATTATTGACATCCGCATGAAACTTCATAAATAATTTAATCTCATCGTAACCTACAACTGTTTTATTTACGAAAACTCTTGGAATTGGGGAGTTTTCAATCTGGAGGGGGGCAAACTTTGTCTATTTAATGAGGTACTAAAAACTCGTAAATCTGCTTTCTACTTGGATCGTAAGATAATTTGAGCTCAAATTCGATAAAAATGGAGGCCTATAAAAATATTGGGCCCTTTGACCTACATAATCTCGTTGTTTTGACAATTTAGGGGTTTATGTCATGCCAAATGACTGAATATTTTTTAAGACCTCTTTATTTTGTGCTCACATTATCTTATGATTCAGATGGAAAGCAAATGTGTATTTACAAGTTTTTAGCACCTAATTAAATAGACAAAGTTTGCCCCCCTCCAGATTTAAAACACCCCAATTCCAAGAGTTTTCGTAAATAAAATAGTTGTAGGTAACGATGAGATTAAATTATTTATGAAGTTTTATGCGGATGTCAATAATGCAATAAAAAGGGGTCTGTACCACGGGCTACTATTGGAATAAATAAATTGAGTCGTATAAAATGTATGTTTTATTCATCCTGCATCATATACAGCAATCATAACCTTGATTTAAGACAAACTATAAAATAGAAGAAGGCCAAACAGAAAAAAATGTGTCGGTAACAGAATTCGATCACTAAGATCACATAATTTTTCAATTTTGTTTGGAAAACAGTGCTTTAATTGTTTCATTAATTCTTACCAGAGGAAAATTAATAGAATTTTCAAATCAATTGAACAGTGAATTTGTGTTGTGCATAATTTGTTTTCGAATTAATCAAAATGTAGGAGGGAAAAAGTTGATACTTCGAAAGGCACTTCTCTAACACTAACTCAATTCATAAAATTACCTTCAATACAGTGCGATGGTCTATTATTATTGGGAATAATAAAAAATTATTGTTATATTAATTCAATTAATGGAAACACTTTCCCCTCTCCCTTACTAATATTATTCTCATACCTAATCCTCAATAATAATGAAGTAGACACTTTTTTCGAGGAGCTCAAGAAATACAATTTGCATAAAAAATAAAATCAATCCATTTTAACATAAAATTTATTTAGCAAAGTGTAAAGTTTTTCAGACCCAAATTTAATTTACTTCCGGATATCCTAATTAATTTAAAAACTTTTCTGAATTATTGACAACTTTCAGTAAATTCTCATATTTATTAAATGCCAGATAAATATTAGATGTCATACATGAAAATTTTTTTTTGGACATACGAATAAGCTTCACTTCGAATTGTGAGTAGTATAAACTCAGATTTAAATGTAGATAAAAATTACCTTTCTGTCAGCTGAGTGAATGAAATCGGCCCACAGACACAAATGAAAAATGATCGCAATGGATCTTCATCAGAAAATTCTGGAATGTAGGAATGAAGCAACTGAGGAGTGATCCAGCCAGAGGTTTTCTTCCATGATGAATCAGGTTCAGAGAGAACATGCTCAACACGGAACCTACAAATAATATGAAACAAACATGATTACTTCTAATTTATTAACACGTTAGCTGCGGCTATGGTTCCCAGGTACTGATATTCGTCATCATTTTCGACAGGATTGTTTCGAATTTTGTCTATCTAACGAAGTCTCTAAAATGGTCATTTTTAAAAATGCAACAGGGGTGGTAAATTAATATTATAGGAAATAAATACAAAACATCAAAATTTGTATGCAGGCAACATAGATGTTTGTTTGACCTTCAATGTTTTTGAATATCAATATATCGATATTTCTGTCATCACAAGCTATGGCCCGCAGAACTTCAGTGACTTCTGCTTCAGACCAACTAACTAATCCTGAACAGTGTCAATCATCTTCCTGTCATGAGGTTTTGTAGGCAATTTAGAATTATTGTGCAATATAAAATGATAAAGCTGATTATGAGCAAACTTAGTTGACATAAAGAAAATATTTAATGGACTAAAATTAAATAAAACAACAATTATTTTTATTTATGTGCTAAAATAGTTAAATTCTCCTTTACCTCTGATTATTAGATACAAGAGTTTGAAGCTCAGATTTCCAAATAATGTCCTTTACTGCTTTGTTGAAAAAAATTAATTTCACTTCTAATCTGAAAAAATAAAATAAATATAAGAAAATGATGAACACAAAACACTAAACTAATGAAGTTTTATGGATTTAAAGAAAGTGAAGTCATAAGCTAAGTGGTTCACGCAATAAAATTTAAGTATTAAATTTTCATTTAAAATTTTTTTATACTGAACATTTCAGTACTTTAAATGCTTATTTCCTTTTTAGCTGAGAAGATTTATGATATAGCCTACCCTACAAAAATTGGTTATTTCGCAAACAATCACCAATAGCCAAATGACAAAAATTTATTTGTATATTATAGAAAATAATTGATACTTGTTAAGCTGATACCGATTGAGCCAGGACTTTATCTATGGCTACATTGTATTTAAGCCAATATTTATAGCTTTTAATTTTTAATGAATTAAATCTTAATTTTTACCAAACACAGATTCTGACATTTTGTGAATGGCGGTACAAAAAGTTACTAGACGAATATGTGTATAACAAACAGAGCTGTTGAAATAATTTTGAAAAATGTCAAATAATTATCTTATGAAGTACTTATTTTTACTAGTTCTGTGCTTGAATCTCTTTCTTAGCAAGTACTAAATATATAAATTATCAGTTGTTTATTTCTGTACTTGTACTGTACCCAAATAAAAATAAAATCGACTTGGTCCCCTTAGTTTCCGAATCCCCGTAATAAGGAAGAAATTAAATATATATTTTTTCTTACACTTTGTTCCTTCTTGCCAAGGCCCAATCCACCAAACGAGTCATAGGAGTAAAGCCTGTTCCAGCCGAAATCAGTATTATATGAGTCGCTTTCATCAGGAAGCCAACAGAGAAATTTCCAACAGGATGGCCAATCATCACTGTTGCTCCAACCTAAAAATATAAAAATAGTTTTTTTTTTAAAATATATATTAGGCCAAAGGTCACCAAATGTACAGTTTTTACATCCTGTATTCTTTATTCGACGTTTCGGCTTCAGGAGCCATTTTCAAGATTCTGCAAACTAATTTTAATTCAGTTTTTACAGTTCCAAATACCTCCTTATCAGACACATATTATTTAACAACCATCAGTAATATAAATAGTCCAAATTCTATTTTATAAAAAAAAAAAAAATTATTTTTTTTATTTTTTTTTTATAAAATATAATTTGGACTACTTATATTACTGATGACTGTTAGATAATATGTGCCTGATAAGGGTGCATTTTGAACTGTAAATACTGAATCAAAATTAGTTTGCTGAATCTTGAAAATGGCTCCTGAAGCCGAAACGTCGAATAAAGAATACAGGATGTAAAAACTGTGTACATTTGGTGACCTTTGGCCTAATATATATAAAAAACTTATGAGAAAATGGCACCAAACCTGAATGATGTGACTAGAAAATATAAAAATAGTTTCACTTTAAATAAAAATAGATTAAATCGAGAACATCAAAGTCAAAAACATAATCTTTTATTTGTAATGTTGAGGACTAATAATGTTGAAAATTCTATTTAGACTTATAAATACAGAAATAAATGAATAAATTATCCTACACATTAAGCTGAAAATATAATTATTATTTCAAGCCTGAAATGCTTCTTTTGTTCACTGACTAAAATACTGTGTTTATATTATATACTATGCTCTCAACATTAGTACATAAAAATAGATGGATAAGTTAAGGGAACATTGTAATCCAATTTTGAAGAGGTAAACAAGAGTATACTGTGTTGTAAATGTAGGGAATATCTGGTCTTCTCAATATCATATCTGTTCTTAATAGAACATAAACACAAATAATAAAATCATCATTCTATTCAAGCGATCTCTTCGATCAGCCCTGAACTTCAGGTCGAAACATCGACAAATGTTAAAATAAATATTATTATTTATTTTTGCCATTTTTATTTTGACTGATCATCCCAACCATCCTTCTCTTAATTTTTCACTGCAGCCAACTATCAATCCACAATTACAAATAATAAAACATTGATATTTATAAATTACCACAATACATGAAGGATCTTGTTTTCAGTAGATGGCAAAGAGGTCTTATTTCTTGATCAACAATAATAGAAGGAGTAATAAGGACGGCATTTACATTAATGGCCGATTTCCCCCTCCACACACACACACACACGATGTACTCAGGTACACAACTGACAGAGCCAAGAGTTAAATCATGGCTGATAAGATATAAGATTTATCTTGTACTATAACTAGCTGCAAAGATGAGCTAGGTAAAGGTGGGGTCTATCAAATTACAATAATCTCTTAAGAAATAGTAATTAAAAATTAGTGTTCCAAAAAATAAAATTTTAAAAACAGATAACTAAACCACAAATGAATAGTATGAGTACATACCTTTCTTGATGTGATCCAGGAACTAAAAACTCCATCAGGATAGTACTTGATTAACAAATTTACATCACTACTTAGTTTTTTATCAAGCCCACAAACTGGTGTATAATTCCTTTCCAATGAAGTTCCTAAAGATCATAATAATAAAATCAGAAAATATTAGTATTTATATTATCCAAGTGCACCCACTACTACTTGGTACAGCCACTAAGGTATTTAATCAGATTTTTAACATTTGTTTCTATTTAAGTAAAATAACTTGAATTTTTAAAAAATGTAGTGATGAACTGAGCTAAAAATGTTTGGGTCCAAATTATAATTAAGTAACAAGCAAGGAAAACATAATACATATTACTTAAACTAATAAGTAAGGGACATTATTTTTCAGGAATGCCAATTCAAATGTTGAGCAGTACACTTTCAAATAATTATAAAATGTTTTCTAAATAAAAGATTTAGGTAAATAAAAAATAAATAAAATCAAACTTCTTTCAAAATTACCATTAATATTAGCCTTGACAGGTATGTGGTAGCCAATTGGAACGTGGAAAGCTATTCGTTTGGAATTTGATAGTCCAATCAAAAAAACATTGTGATTAACATGCTCGATCCGATCAATAATCATAGGAATAGTTGTTAATGCCTCTTTGAAGTCATCAGGTATATAAGACGGATCATCCCATAGATCAGGTTTTTCTTTTGTGTACTTTGCTTCTATCTGGAAAATTCAGATTAATTAATCAAAAAAATTCTTAAAAATTAATAAGCTAACACATGGGAGAACAGTTTTGTTAATACAGTAAATAATGTCTATGGCTTATTTACAAAATAATAGACTAAAAACACATTTTAAATTATTGCAATACAAAAACACACTCAGTATTTCAAAATTGAATTCACATTACTTTTAATTTGACTGGATTACCTTTTTAATGACTAAATTATTCAAATTTATATATATAATGTTTATATATATATATATATATATATATATATATATATATGCTAAGAAGTATAATAAATAGACCACTCTTTTCTAATACTTGGGAAAAATGCTAGACTCAGATGCGTAAAGTGGCCATTTGAGCAGTCTTGATTTAAACCCTTTTAAAAAAGTATGAGATGAGTGATCAAAACCAATTAAAATATATCAGAATCGCATTGAATACTATGGATTGGTCTGATTTAAAATATGAAACTACCCATCAGGTGTTTATTCAAAACACAATCAATGCTACATTGAATGTACAATGTACATTGTACATCACACTAAATGAAAAAAGAGAAAAAACAAACAACCTTATTTATTGAATTATTTTTTATACTACTTCAATAATACTGTTGATGAAATAGGGTTTAAATGGATAGTGTGTATAATCAATAGATTTAGAGTTAAATAGCATTTAAAATGTACCTTGCTATCTGTAACAGTCAGAAGAGGAGGCCATACAATTGATTGCATCAATGAAAATCCAACACATTTATCATTGAGCCAAATCCACAATTCAGTTGGTTCCTCATTACTTATTATTACCTGAAAAAAAAATTTTCTATATAAAATCATAAAAATAAATATTAAAATTTAAGATAACCTCATTTTTAATTGTCATATACCAATTTATGATTATATTTGAAATTTAAATTTAAGGAAAATAAATGAAGATTAAAAATTGTTGGCAAGAATAAAATAAAATGAATTATATGTTTTATACACACAAATGTATCCCCAAAAAACATAATTTGAATTTACTATATACAATCAAACATCATTTGAATTAATAATCAATAAATTATAATCAAAAGAAATAATCAAATTAAAACTTCGAAATATCTAATTAATAAAAATAATATATAATCTAATAATAATAATATGACTGATAGACATATTATACATTTTTATTTAAAAATAAATTGCCTTAAGTGTATAATACGTTTTCTTCTTACAAGTAAATACAAGAAGACTATAATAAAATATTAAAATACGATTCTTACTTTTTTTGGTAATTCTTTAAGATACACAACCATGGTAATAAAGTTCTGTTGTTGGTACCAATCTACCTTCGGTCCATCAAAAACAATAGGTAAACTATTTGAAACTTTCTGTTCCCTTATAATTTTATCTTTTTTGCTTGAGCTAGGAATCTCAAAGATATTTTCATCTACTGCACTAGTCAGCCTTCCAACTAAACATTTTTTGAGAATTGATTCAAAATTGACCCAGGGATGAACCTGTTTGAGAGATGAAAATTAATTTACATTAAATACAATACTTAATAACACAATAAGAGAAATGATAAATATAAAAATGTGCACAGTCTATCCTTAATTTACAGTCGATCAAAATTTAAAAACAAATTTTTAGTTAAAATAAAAGAATAAGTTTATAATAGTTATTTTTATCGAATATATATACTTATCATTCATAAAAAATTAAAGTTAAAAAATGTTGAGATAGGATAGTCAATTTATTTAATTCTCCTCAAATTTCATTTAGATTACAACTATCAGACGGCTACTTCTTTATTGAAACAGATATTCTTTGATTTTCATAAGGCTGAGCGATTCAAGATCAAACTCTTTTTCATTTAGGTTTTTTGCCTGAGACAAAAGAACCAAACCAGTGTCTTCAAGGCTCGTGATCTAAGACATGAATAATCAAACCAAACATAATGCTCTCATAATAAGTATTTGCACATGTATTATGAAACCAACATTTTTAGTCAACAATTAATGATAAATAAATGGGACTTTACCTTATTGAATAGATTAGTTGCATCAATTCCAGCACCTTTCATAAGTTCTTCTGCTCCACCAGGATGGAAATCCATATACCTTGTGATGTTATAAACATTTCCTACAAAAAGAATTAATAATTAAGAAGACATAGATATTAGTGCGAAAATAAAAAATTAAATTCTTAATACTTAAAATTTGGGCCGAAACGTCGACAAAAATAAAAATAAATATACTTATTTATTTTTCGAATTATTGAAAGAAGCTAGTCGAATGTTCTACATATCACGGGTGATGAATATTCAGGATGCAGTCTTATAAATTTTTTTTTATTTGTGCCGACATTTTAACCCAAACACGTGGGTCATCATCAGGGCATGGTTTGAGCACTGAAGATTTTCAAGTACTTGAACCACGCTGTTTGGGTAGAAACGTGTCCTGAATATTCATCACCCATGTTATTTATTTTTGACATATCTCCGACCAATCTTCCCTTCAATAAATCCTTAATAAATTTTTAAATGATCAATAAACTAGAAAGACTCTTTTAGGCTATTCTATGAGTCTATGAGATTTCATACCACAAGTTGCGCCATCAAAATTTTTGGGAAGAGAAAATTTCAAATCAAAAGGCAACGGGAAGCATGGAACATACTGCCAGAAGCATAATGTATTCAATCTACAATTTTTCTAATTCTATTTTCAGTTGCACCGTTTTTAAGAAGTAATAAAATATCTTTGATGGGGAGAGATGTGCCATACACTGTGGGGAGGCACCTCTGCTAAGAGCTATTTGATAGTAAGATCTTTAAAAAAAGTCCAGTTAGCCAGTAATCTAATTTGTTAAGATTTTTTATCATTATGGCTTAGTTTTTAACCTTATTTGCAAAATTAAACTTATGGACTTCATAAGGGACAGCAAGAAGAATCAATTATTATACTAAAATAAATTATTTTCCTAAAACTTCATATCATGAAAACAACTAAAATTTAACCCAATATAACGTTTTTTATAGAAATGTTGATTGATTTTGGAAAGAAAAGGTCACCTAAATATAAAAACTTAATTATAAACAAATTTTTTTTACCAATGTTTATAAAATATATATAACATATCTTAATAATGAAACCAAACTTAGTTATTACAAGAATTGAGAATAGTACAACTGGCAAACATAAGTTTACAGTAGAAAAACCATCATTAAAAATTTAAGATATAGAATTAATTGAGAAAAGTAATGTACATAAAAAGGGTTCCCTGAGATTGGATTAATTCACTAAAAATAACACTAATTTATGAAATATTATAACATCGTAATTTTATCAACAGAATTGGCGGTCACAGCAAATAATTCTTTTGGATTATAAACAAGATGTTGAAAAATTAATAATGCTCATAACTATTTACCTCATTGTATTACAATAAAAATATAAAACACTAAACAAACCTCTTATACATAACCAGGCATCTTTTTCAGTTGAATGTTGGGCAAGTTGTTCTTTCGTGACCTGCAGAATTGCACCACCAGTTCCTGCTAAATCTTCACCACTATTACCAAGCCGAATCCAGTCCATCAAAGAATGGCCTGGTTTCAAAGCCACTTTATTCCTCGGATTACCTAACAACAACACATAGTTATAAAGTCTACTACAAAACAACTGCAGTATAAGAATAAACAGAATAACTTACCTGTGGCTGACATAATGTAGATTGCGAAGAAAACCTCTTTACATTAGATTGGAATAAGTGGTCTTAACAGTGATTTTCTTTTCACATAATTAAAAATGGGCTCAACATGATTTATAAATATTTTTTAAATAGCGCATTTCATTTAATAAAGTAACGCTTCAAACAGGACTTGGCCTGCATCGGTATTGATGTCTCTAAGTTAACACAATCTATGACTATTATATTCGAAACTAACTCCATACCGGCCCCTAGTGAATCAGGTACCAGCGACAGTAGAGATCCATACAATGAAGGTTAGTACGAGGACAGGTTTTAAATAGGTTATACCGCTCCATAGACGTAGGAAAATGTCAAGTTCAATCATTATGCAAAACATGAAGCATTTACCTACATCAAAGAGAGGCTGGTAGATTATTAATTTATGTCAGTCGCAATGAGTTTTTATTTCTAAGTATTGAGGATATGAACAATTTATATGCCTAAAGGAGACATCCTCAATGCATTATTAATTTTATTTTCTAGTTATATCTCCGTTTTAAAATAAATCCAGTCCTGTATGAATGCGTTAGTGAGGAGGAACAGTTTTAGTATCATCTACGAAAGAGGTACATAAATTGAGAAAAAATAATATTCTTTTTGATTAGTTTTCTTTTTTTTTAATTTTAACATTCTATTTTAATTATTTATTATAACTTTTAGAAGTGAAAAACGACATACGATGAAATAAATGAATGACAAACCGACGAATTATATTATAATGATGAACATTTGACAATGAACGATTATGGTAAATATTTCATTTACTCGAAAAATAATAAATGTATAAAATTTGAGAACTAAAATTTTAATGTCTAAAGAGGGACGGATCTAAGAGTAAATGGCCAGATTGCAGGGGTCCCCGAAGCAGAGATGGGAAGCGGAAATGAACATGAGTAGAGATGAACATTCTAAAAAAAAAATAGGACAAAAATATCAAAATCTTAATCTATGTTCAAAGGTACAAGAAATTTTATTTATGTTTTGATAAGTGCATATCACCATATTGTAAATAGCAAAGCAAACTCCACGTTAATTTCTCAAGCAGTTTAAAATACTATTTCATTAGACGATGAAATAGACTTTTTTTGTATGGTATAAACTTAATAATAGTGGCGAAGTGCATCGATACGGAGCTCGGACTACACTGAAGGCGAAGTACAATGTTTGAACCTGCACAGACAGGTAGAATCTAAAGCTGCGTACATCCATTTCACAAACTATAGGAAACATAATTATCTATGTAACTTAACTAACAGCAAAACTAGCGTTAATCCAATTTTTTTTTATTCTCTTGTTACCGACAACAGATGGAAAACTTAAAAAACAAGAAACAAAAACAATAGTATAGGGAAACAACAATTTAAATATTTATTTTCCACATATTTTGTGAAATGTCTAAACGTACTTTAAAGTTTAAAGTTATAGGTTTTATAAAAATAAAATCATTTTTTCGTGTGTATTATAATTTGTAATTATACAATAAGTTGTGATTATGTACATTAATTTAACTAGCAGGGTTTATTTATTTAAAAATCTTATCAATACCTTATTGTAAATTGAAATGAAAATTATTTCTTCGTTTCTCCGATAATTCGAAATCGTAATACATTTGGAGGCGCAATAGACCTGTTTTATTAGTTAATTATTGTTAAAGTGCATCGGTGTTGAGCTACTTAGTACTACACCGAAAGTGAAGTACAACGGTGGAATTTGCATAGTCAGGCGAAGTTTAAAGTTCAGAGCAGTGGGCTTATATAAAAATAAAATAATTTCATCCTGTACATTTAAACAGAACATCGAAAACCAGGGAAAAAGGCCTGTAAGTACAATTTTATAAAAAAAAAAAAAAAAAAAAAAAAAAAAAAAAAAAAAAAAAAAAAAAAAAAAAAAAAAAAAAACAGGTTTGGGTTTTATATTAAATCTGGACTTTGCACGTCCAATAGAACAAATTAAAAACGTAATTTAGTCTATTCATATCTTTGTCTTAATTGCACAGTAAAAAATTAATACCATATAACTTTATTTATTTATTTAACGACTTTTACAACATTAGTCTTTTATGTCGTCACCAAAAATACAACTTTATAATGAATGTATAGGCTAGTTGTCGAAAAAAAAAATTAGTTATGCCTTTTAGTGGATACTAAGTTTTATGCTACGTACGGGCACTACTAAGTATAATGTACTTTGAAAACAATTCAAATACATTGCTTATCTATATATTAATCATTGTATTCATTTAATATTAATAACAGGAATTTATTTTGTATTTTATCCGATTGCATTTAATAAAGAAATTTTAGGATATAATTATTTTCAAATATAAATGAACATAGTACTTTACTTAAAATTAATAGGGATCAAGTTTTGAAATTCTATGAAAACATGTTTTTATTTTTCATAATAATGAAAAATACAAGGACGATTTAAGTAACTTGTAGGAAACGCAAAATGTAATGTATACTAAATAAATATTGTCTTTTTGTACTTCTATAAAATTCTACTATAAATTCTGGAACGTAAAACCTCAAATTTTGAGAGAAGGAATGATGGAAAAATATTTTACATCCTGTTGTGGTACATACACAAGGTTTTTATTATATATAGACTAAACAATGCAGTATGTATTAATTATTCATCCTTTAAAATGCTAATTGGGAAGAAATAAACATGCATAATAAAATCCTTATAAATATTTCTTGTTCTTTGGCAGTAATCAGAACTGTCTTCATATGGTTTAAATAGGTGAGCGGTATCAATTTTTAAATTTTTGTATAATTTAGTTTTATTATTTATAAATCTAGAGTTTAATTTGACGAGTAATTAAAAAGTTTCGTTAGTTTAACCATTATTACGAAAATTATTATATTAACATAAAATAGCATTTTCTGGTTCAAAATAGTAAATAACAAAACATCATTTATTTTAATTCTAACATCACATTTTTTTTTTTATCCCAGAGACATTAAGACCAATTTTTTTTTTTGTCTCTAATTCAACTTGAAAGGAAATAATTATTTTTGTTCTCATCAAAATATGAAATTTTAATGATATTCCTTAGGCTGTATTAATCTCGGACAATAAAATAGGATAATAAGATAATAGGATAATAGGCAAAAATGGTTGTTGGTTCACAGTCGAGGCGCAGAGCGAATTCAACTTTGCAAGATGGCAACTAGTACTTGTTCCATGATGATCATTCTCCACTTGTTTTTAGTACTTCTGGTTACAGGTGATCCAATTTTCACAATAAATTTGTTATATTAATTATCATAATATATCATAGTCATGTAAACTTAACCGTCCTTTTATTTTATTTGTTTATGCAAATTACAAAATGAATTTATGAGGGATGCGAAAATGATGGATATTATTTCGGTAGTATTTTAATCTATATTATCAATCGAATATATCAAAAATATCGTAATTTTGTTTAGTTCTGTGCTTTAGTGAACTGTATCAAGTTTAAATTTTTTGTTAATAGGTGTGTCTATAGGATGCAGAAGTGTAACAAGTTTATATACTTTTTTGTTGGCTCTTATCTTGAATAAAAATATAAATATATGTTTTTCTGAGTATCATGGCATGATTTCTTTCAATGATAGATCCATCGTGTAAGCTGTGAGTATTTATAAAAGTATTTGAATTTTTTCGAGATTGGGAAAACATGCCAAGAGCTCACATAACACTGCAGATGGTATTCCGAAAATCTCTAAGTGCCTCTGAAAGCGTGTTCATGAGAATTCATATGACGAAGTACAATTACAGGAAAAAACTAACTTCTTGAAAGTATTGGAAAAATATTTCATTTTCGTCATTGATAAATCGACTAGTTACATATATTTTGTTAATTCAATCGGAATTTATTTGTACAACACTTTCAAATCCGATCAAAGAATAATTTTTGGTTTTCCGCGGAAATTTTTCGGTATTTATATTGAGCCTCTCATAATTTTTATCTTTAGTGCGATTTTCATTTATCATTATCAATACTTATGCCACAAAATACACTACGGGAAAAATGAAATAGTCTTTAACAAATAAAAATGTTAAAAAATGTTTTATTGGTCCATACATTCCAAACACAGCCTACAGCTTACATAAAACCTGTTTTTTCATAAGACTAGGATCTTTATATAATAATAAACCAATTTCAACACCGTTTACCTACGTATTTAATCAGAAGTTAAGTTCATAACTCGATTTATCATAACTATTAATTGTTATAAATTAGTAAAAAAATAACCTAGAGACAAACAATAAATGTTAGTTTATTATTACAAAAAATTCCAAAACTGCATTTTGGAGACAATATTGTATGGTTTGGATTTTTTTCAATAATAACCTAACAATTACTATTAATTTAGTATTGGGAGAGTTTTTATTTTAAATAAAAGGATTAATGACCATTAATTTAAACAAGTTTTATGTATGTTATTAAGTAAGAAATAAACTTCAATTAATCAATTTTGTCTTCAGGTAAAAAATATTGTTAAAACAAAATTAAAGAAAAATGGTTTTGTTTATATTCATCCTAATTGAAAAAAAAAATCCATCGTATTTTTATTATGTAATATGTATACAATACGCTTAATTTTTAAAAAATTAAAACCTAATATTTCTTCCATACAGGTTCTTGTACTTTATTTAGGCCAAAATAAATTGCCAAACATTTATCTCTCCGGAATACTTTAAGTTTTTATAAATGTGAAAAAAATTGATTTTTTATTTCTGAAATAGAAATCTCATAATTTTACCAACTATATCTACGATACGAATATAAAATAAAATTCTATTGTGGTTAGGATGGTATCGATTCTCTTTTTTGTGGTTCACAGATCAAGATGGAAAGACAACCGTGTGGCTTTAAAAATATAAGAAGAAAAAACAAGAAAATCCCTATGATCATATGAGAAATACGAGATTTTCACGCGACACAGTTATATATATATATATGCATATATAAGAAATATAAAGCTCTTAAAATTCATTAAAATAAAAATTTCTTTTCAAATACATTTCATATAGCATTTGTAGCAAAAGTGCGAAATCTATAATCACATACCATCTAAAACACACCAATTCTCTTTTGCTTAATATATGTAGCTGGACTACGGTATTCTCTTAATTATTTTTCATATCTATTTTAGGATCGTCAGTGCTCGCGATAGAAGATTTTGGCGAGGAGACTACAACAATGAGCGTATTTATTGATATGAATCCTGAAGCTTATCCAGATCCTTCTTCACCTTCACCAGAAACTCCTGACACAACGATGAAGCCTACCAGTATCTTGAAGGACCTGGAACAAGTGGCCTGGAAGATCGTTCAGTTCGAGTGGAATGTGACTTCGGCGCTTCAAAGGAAGCTGGGTGGTGGGCCACTGGTCAAGGCGATCCGGATGCGATCCGAAGTCGAGCCAGCGCTAGCCCGGATCGTAGGCCTCGTGGAGGGGAGAATACTCAGCAACAGTTTCCGAAAAAAATAATAATAATTTATGAATTTGAATTTTGTTGTTCAATAAACCTTTATTGTAAAGCAAAAATATAATAAAAACTTAATGTGACAGTGGCAAAAAAAAAAGAAGAAATTGCTATCAAGGCTCATGCACCCAAACGCGATATTACTGTTCACTTACGTAGACTGAAATGTTTATAGGAGTGATAAAAACTTAAAATCTAAAAAAAAGGTTATGTGAATATCAGTTCGATTATCAGCAGAAAATAGGGAAATTTAAATTTTGTGTTCTTTTTAAGTAAGTGACGCTTTTTGTAGAATAGATAGCGATAAATAACAAAATACATAATTTAAATAATTATCAGTTGGTTCAGAGTAAACTAGACAAAATTCACTTCAAATAAAAATAGAGATTGTCATTGTTAAAACCATTTAAAGAGGACTCTTGAGCGACTAAACTAAGCTAAGTTCTATTTTTAAAAATATCATAAATTATTCGCGATTTTTTTTTTTTTGTCATTATCCAACAATACCAAAGAATCCCACATTTCCAAAAGTTATCTCGTTTAATAAACTTTAAGTCCATATTAATTAAGTTGAGGGTTTATTACGCAAAAACTTGAGATTGACCTCAAGTTGTTTAAAAAAATGTAATTTTTTCTATTGTCACTACGGACGGATCTACGGGTGAGCTTTGGGGCTGAAATCCCCCCAAAATGGTAAAATATAACCATGTTTTATGGAAAAAAAAATTAAAAAATTATCTCTTAAAGTATTATTGTTCGTTTAATTAAATTTAAAAGGAGTTTAGGAATCACTTAAACACCATTGCATATATGTAGTTAGTTTCTATCTTTTTTTCCAAAGTAATTATCGTTATTTTTGTGAAAAAAAAAATAGCTTTCGGTCTGAAGCTCCACCAAAATTAAATCCTGGATCCCCTAGTGATTGTTACCTAAAAATACCCGAGTATTCAGCAATACTGGCTACAATTAACGGTTACTAAGCTCTCATTTCTTGCTTTTCCACGATCTATGATCTATAGTGATAAACATAATTGTCTAAATACACTTTTTATTTATAGAAAAAAAAATTTAAATAAAATGATTTATCCAATATTTTTCATATAAAGTGTTTATAAATTTGTATTTTTCTCCCATATCTCTGTTATATTAATTGATCCGTATGCATAAGTGACAATCTTAATGTTCCTAATCCTATACGTTTTCGTTAAAATAATTGAAAAAATCAGCAAGGTTTTTTTATTTTGAATGCAACTGTAAGGCCTAGAAACATTAAGTATATGAATGCGGATTAACTCTTATGATATAGATATGGGAGAAAACACAGTTTCATAACCTCTTTACGTGACAATATTTTTTTTAAACATAATTTTTCAACTCACACCTGTCAGAAGTTCCGACAATCAGCGAGTTTGGTGTAAAGATGTAGAAGATTAACAGGTCAAATATTGAACAATATTTTAAAAAATCATTATTATCAAAAACAATTTCTATTAAAAAAAGTGTATTTAAACAATTATTTTTATTATAATACAGCCTAGATTATGGAAAAACAAGAAATGAAAGCTTTGTAACAGTCAATTGTGGCCATTATTGCTGAAAACACGAGTATTTTTAGTTGACAAGATAAACAAATCCATCATTTTTTTTACACAACTTGAGGTGAATTTTAAGTTTTTGCCAGATGAATTCTCAACTTGATTAATATGGATTTAAAGCTTATTAAACGAGAAAGTTTTTCTAAAAGTGGGGTGCCTGTAGTATACTTGGATGACGATAACAAAAATCGCGAATAATTTATGATTTTTATAAAAACAGAGCTTATCTTCGTTAAGTCGCTCAAAAGTATTCTTTTTGTGGTTTTAACAATGACAAACTCTATTTTTATTTAAAATAAATTTTGTCTAGTTTATAATGAACCAAATGTTAATTACATAAATTAAATATTTCTTTAGTTATCGCTTCCTATTCAACAAAAAATGTGACTCACTTTAAAAAAACACAAATCTGAGAGCATTTTTTTTTATATGGATAAATAAGGTCGGAATTCATAAAAAAAAATTCATAAAATTTCCAATATGAACTTTGTGATATTTTGTCGAAGAAATATGTTTTGTATTTCTTTCAGTTGAATGAAAGTGACCTTGGAAATTTTTTCCTTCTCTCTCACTCGTAAAAAATAAATAACATGAACAATAACATGTTTTCTCAGATTTTTTTTTTTAAATTGCACGCTATTAGAGTTATGTAAGCTGCCATTTACATACATATTTGAAAATAATTAGGAGGTATGCATAGTCGTTCCTCTAACTCCACATGAACGTTCCGCCAAAAAAGAATACTTTTATACAAAACAAAGGATATAGAAACGATTCTATAAAACAATAGCGTTATTGTAAATTGAAACATTCTCATTAACTCCTTTACTTACACGATACTCAATCTTTACTTTAATGGATTTTCTCGTTAATGTGTAATAGAAGAAGAAACATCAAATTGGCTGGAAGAATTTCTTTCATTGAGTTTCATAAAAGTATTCCTTTTTAACGAAACGTTCAATAGTAACTATAAATTCTTAATTACGCAATTATCGTAGTGTTCAACAATAGTACAATAGTAGAGAACAATGCATTTATTTATTTTTTTTTGTTCTTTTGCAGCTTTTCTGGGCAACTTTGCCACATATTCGGGATTCAATAATTGTTATTTACTTATATTTAAAATATAAACTAAAAATTAAAACATTTACATTTTACAACCAGTCTTAAGCATGTAATAAGTCGAGAATAAATAAACTGTATTGCTACAAAATAATGACAGATGCGAAAAGCACCAGATGTGACCTTAGGTAAACTCTAAGGCCTAAAAGTAAATTCTCATAAAAACAAATAAGAAAACAGTTGGATACACGCCATATTTATAATCACTAATATATATTTTTTTATTAATAAATATATCATTAGTTATAAATAGATTTATATTATTACTTTTACTTACCTACATATGAAATATAGCATCAGGTAAAGTATTGCGATCGTGAACAATTTGGATCAGAGTTGTCGATGGAAATCCACATTTTCTATTTCCAAGTTTCGCAAAATGATGTTTGTGTAAACAGTTATGTTCAGAAATAAAAATTATTTCGTGCGAAACTGAAATTCATTGTAGGTATATACCTGGGATATTACAGTAATCTTTTTCACCAAAATAGACTAAACGAAAGTGGCACTTTCTTTAATTGAAATCATACAATTTTATAATTATCTCAAAATTAAATAATAATCTCAATTGATCTTTAAATATCAAGCAGGTGTTACATTCATTGAAATAGTCTGACAGATTTTTATTAACAAATTTTAGAAATGTCTTCCTTTAAAATACTTTTATTTTTTTTTTTTATAAAAAATAATTAAACGTTTCACATTATAACTAGTAATAAAAAATGTTTTAATATATCAAGGAACGAACTTGATCATACAAAAAAGGATAAATAAGAGTTAGGTCTAGATAAAAGCTGTTAAATTGGGCGCCCGACTAGTACCGATCTCGCTCCATTTAAACTACTCATGTCAGTACAGTGCTTTCCTATTGTTTTTTTTATTTTTTTATTTTCATTTTAATGGTTCACATACACATTAAAAAAAAAAAGAAGATATTTACGTGGAATGTTCAGGATCTACTAACATGAGTATAATATATATCTACAAATGTCAACTGTTTTTTCAACGTGTTCCGTGTTAGATGTTCTGGATAAAGCAACGAATTTTCCCAAAAGATCCACTTTTATTCACAATCATTGATTTAAACATATTTTAAAGTTATTTTTCGGATCAACAAGTAATTATTTTCGTAATTAATTGTATTCATATTATTTCTACAATATGAAAATATTTCTATTCAAAGTAGGGCTTTGAATAGAAATATGTGGGAAATTTGTGTGAGTCACTCACAACTCCAAATTTTAATAATATGATGTATAAAGCCATAAATTATATCCTGTACTCAAATATTCTGTCAACAACCAAGTATTATTATCTAGTGATAGATCATTTGCTGGGAAATCAACCACGATAAATTTCTATTACACAAGCTTCTTTCACACGTAACGAGTGCATGTTCCAGTGCATTTAATCTATTTAAATGAATTTAAACTAGATAAAACCCATGGTTTATATATATATATATATATATATATATATATATATATATATATATATTTGTGTGAGTGTGATATATATATATATTAAGATTAGGCATTATTAAGTATATTAAGGAAACTCACTACAAACGTTTAAAATTTCTTTCTGCTATTCACGCGTACGCATAAAATTGGTCCAATAGTTTTACCGGTTAGCAGTTACAAACGAAAAAACTATAATTATTTTTTTAAAAGATAATCTCATAAAACTTTGGTCTGTGAATTAGCTGATTATAATACAGCTATATGAAAAAAAAAATCTGTAAAGTAAATTAAATAATTTTAATTTTTCTTGAATACAAATATATCGTTGGTGTATTGCAAAAAGTTTTGATAGAGTTTATCAATAAAGTGTGAATTTTGATAATATTTTTCAATGCGAAAAACCACCAAGTAAGTCAAAATAACAAAAACCCAGTTATATTTCAAAATAGTAGCAGTGTACAATTTTATGATTCCGCAAGGGTAAAATTCATCACGTGATATAATTTTATAAAGTGTTACTTGACTTATAACAATGAATCGACGATATTTTTATGAACCCGAACCAGTTACGAAATTGAAATGAAAAAAAAAAGGAAAATGGTTTATCACTATTTATAAAAACCGCTTATCTAATCAAAAAATTTTTGAAAAATAAAAAAAGGTTTACATTTGCAATAAAAATGAATTATGATCGTTCATTGTCGCCGGCTTGTAGAAAAAATGGTCCTAATTTTTCAAGAAAGCCATTTTCAGTTTCGAAATCTTAATTATTGTTTAACGAAATCAGTATTCTTAATATTAACTCAATATTAGGGGAACATATAGGTGCCCACAAGGTGGTTTCATGACGCAGGTTCCATCA